GCGCGGGTGCGCTCAACGACGTCCTGTTCAGCAAAGAGACCTCCGCTGGCTTCGAGAACGCGGAGACCGCGGTGGCGACCATCAAGAAGTGCCTGGAGTCCATCGCCAATGACACTAGGGAACCCCACGAACTTGCAGCTGACCTCGACTTTGACCAGCGGCCTGGGCACCCGCTAGTGTGGTACGACGTGGTGAAGCGCATCTGCGACGCTCAGGGCTACCACCACGAGGGCTTCGCGCTCCTCCTCGAGTCCAACATCGGCTTTTGCGAGCACAGCGAGACGTACCTGACCCACGATTTGGGCTGCACCCACCGTGTCTCGCCGTCGCAGGCGTGTCTCGTGTCGCAGAGTGCCTCCATGCGCAAGAGCCCCCAGCTCGAGTTGGCGGACAGCCTTATCCTCGACGCCGAGAGCGCGCCACTGGAGTGGGCGGACCGCAAAGTGCTCATGACGGACGGGACCAAGAAAGGCACCGAGTCCACCCTAGAGCAGTACAGGCGCGGGCTGCTCAGCAGTTCGGAGGGCGCCAATACGATCTACGTGGAGGGCTACTCGAGTAAGGAGGCCAGGATTCACTTCTTCTTCAAGCAGCGCCTGTGCCAGTGGACGCAGGCCGAGTCCATCTCGTCCCCGACGGGGCATGGGCCGATGGCGCTCGTGAAGGGCACGTACAATTTCGGCTGCCGCATCATCACGCAGCCCGAGACAGCGGACTCGACCATGCGCCCCGGGGCGCAGGGGTGGCACAAGCGCTTGTCCATCGCGGCGGCGCCTCAGGAGTCGCGTCTTGCAGGGTGGCGCGGAAGCAGCCGCTGTGCAGAGCGCGCGGGGGCCCCCGTCTTCCGCCCCTCAGCAGCGGGGGCCCCCGGGCGCGCGGCTCGGCGGCCGCGTCGGCGCCCCGGGGGATTTCGTCCCGAGGGCGAACGGCTTCGCCGACACTGAGTGCCAGGACTTCCTCAAGGACTTCTACGAATGGTGCGTTATCAACTGCCTCCCGCATCAGCACAGCATTGTTCCGGACGACTTCGCTAGCAGCCTTTACGACGCCATAGATACTGCTGCGAGCGATGGAGGAGAACCGCATCAACAAGTGGTGGAAGGCAAAGCTTTTGTTTTTCCGTTCTGACCTGCTCCGCTCCTCTCTGAGCACCATGCGCATCTTCCAGCACTGCGCGGGCGAGCAGGCGCCGCTGCGTAGCCAGATCTCCTTCCTCGAACTGGCCGCGGCGCTGCAGCGCGTGCACCGGCAGTGGCAGCTTCACCACGGCGCCTACATCTCCATGTTGGCAAAGGACCCGTCCGTGGGCGGGATGGCGCCTGCTCCGCTGGCGGGGCGCTTGCAGTTGTCTTTGGAGCAGACTTTGCAGGCCGCCCTCTTGCAGCACACGCCTCGAGACGGGCGGATCACGTACACGGCTTTCCGCTTGGCAGTCCGCGGCAAGCGCGGGCCAGCGTTCAGGGGCGCGACGGGCCAGCCGGGCGTGGGCCCGCTGATGCCGCGCATCAAGGTGGCTGTGGCGGCCCTGGTTGCGGGCGGGGTGCTCGAAGAGGCGCCCGGCGCGGACCAGGGCTTCGTGAAGGTGGGCTATCTCAAGCAGTCCGAGAAGCAAGCGGCCTTTCGCCGCAGCCTCGGCGTCTCGGTAGAGGTTTTCCCCGATCCCTGAAGCGGCGCATGCATCCTCGAAGGCGCCCCAGCAGCCCCGCTGCCGAGGCGCGCGCAGGTCGGCGCAACACCGCTGCTTCAATTCGCTGTCGTGGCGACAGCGCTGCCAGCCTGCGCGCGGCGATTGCGCCAGCCGCCAAGTATTCGGCCACCCCTCGTTTCCTCGGCCGCGGCAAAGGCGATCCACGCGCCCGCGCGTTTCTGCTGCGTCTGCGGGGCCCCTTCGCTCGACCATGGCCCGATAGGTCCCCGACGGGGGCTCCGTCGCGGCCCCGGGGCGGCCCGGGCCCCACAGCGGCCCAAGAGAGCTTTTATAGCCCCCAGTGGGCTCGCTCCAAGGGAGCGTCTACGCCGCCTTGCGCCGTCTCGGGGGCCACCATGGGCTGTCCGTGCTATTTCGGGGGCCCTCTTAGGCTATCTTGGATCATCTCCGCGGTTGGCGGCGCAGGCGCGGGCGGGCGATATCGCGTTGCGCCCCCCCTGGCCGCGGTTAGGTGATCTCATGCATCGCCATCGTCGCCACCATCGCTGCAACCATTTGGGCTCAAGCCAGAGGCCCGGGCTTTCGCTGATCGCGTCTTCGGCCACCAGAGCGTCTATGCCGCCGAAGAGAGGCCCGACCGGGGGCCCGCCGCCGTGGCCCAGAAAAAGGCCCACCTGGAAGGATTTGCGCGGGGAGCGCGGCGCAGAGCCTGCCCAGGCGCGGCCGCTGCCGCCGCCCGAGGTGGGCCCGCCCGCGAGCCAAGCCGCTCGGCCGAAGGGGGGCCGAGAGCACCGGCGCACCCGCGCAAGGCGTGGGCGCCTCGGGCGGCCCTGCCAGAGCTCGGTCCGCGCGACGCAGCGGCGCTGGACGCTGCGCTGGCCCAGCGGGACTCCGCCCGCTCAGGCGTTGGCGCACGGGCAGACAAGCGGGCGCGCCTGGCGTTGCGCTTTCGCGCGGGGCGCACGCGGGGCACGCTGGCCCGACTGCTCCAGTGTGGACTTGTTAGCGGCGACGGCGGCCCGGCTGAGACGCTGGCCCCGCGGGCAGGGCTCGCTGGCAAACTTCGAGGCGAGGAGGTGGTCGTCCTCGACGCCTTCGTGTGCCGCGGCCGCCTTCGGTGCGACGTGGCCCCCGTAGTCCAAGGCTCTGGGGCGGGCGCCGCTGGCGGCGCGCACGTGCTCAGGACGAGTTTGCGGCGTGGTTTGACCACGCGTGCCGGTTCTGATCTCACGGACGTGCAGCATCGGTGGCGCTGCCGGTCGATCGTCCGCGGTGTTCCATGGATGGCGCGCGTGCCCGAGGGCGTGTCGGATGGCGGGCGCGCAGCATCGGTGGCTCCGCGCGCTCTCGTGGAAGACGCGCAGATGTTGCAGTCTTTCCGCCACGCCCTCGCCGGCATGAACGTCGCGGCGCCCGCGTGCCAGCGGCCCGCGGCGCCAGTCCTCGTGATCCCGAAGGCCGCCGACGATCACGCCCGGCAATTCCGGCACTGGGTCGCGCGTCAGCAGGGGGGGGCCGCGCTGCAGCCGAGCGGGGAATGCAGGCGCGGGAGCTACGTTTGGGACTTCCCGTGGCCAGTGCAGCTGGACCGTCAGAGGTGGGTATGCTTCACGTGCATGGGCTGTCCACGAACATGGGCATTGCCCGCAGGCGTCGTGCGGCGGGCGCGGCGACGACGTCGGGCATCGCTGTTACTTCCCAGTCGCCGACGAGGACGTGGTGCGCGTCGCCCCTGACGCGATCGTCATCCGCGGCAACGCGGCGGAGGGCGGGCAGAAGGAGGGCCGCTGTTACGTGACTGGGAGGTTCCTGGCGAGATTCCTCTTCTGCCTGAATGACACGCTGAACTTCCGCGAGTGCCGTCGGCAGCTGCTCGGGGAGTACGTCGCCGTCGCGCGCGGCGCGGAGGCGGGCTTGAGCGACGCCGGCGCGCGGGCAGTCCTCTTCAACATCGCTTTCGCCCTCCCCAAGCGCAAGATGTTGGGCATGATCGCCCCGCGCGCCTTCTCCGCCCCGATTTCGCGGAGAGTGTCTGAGATGCGGCGCCTGCAGAGTCTCTACAACGGTTCCGGGCTGCGCGTGGACGGCAACTTCAAGCTGGCGAAGAAGATTTGGAGAGGTGCCGGCAAGTCCCGCCAGAAGCCCTTCAGTTGCGTGCTCGGCATCTGCGGGACGGACGGATCGCCCCTGCTGCCTGTCGCCCCCGTCCGCGGGGAGGCCTGGATGGACATCAAGCGCGTGCTGCAGCCTCTGCTCGCGGACATCGTCTCTGCTCGCCAGGCCGCCGGCATGTCCTTGGAGGACGCGTGCCCTGCGTTCGTCAGCACCGACTCCTACAACAAGCACTTCAAGAAGTACGCCGACGTGGTGAATGAGGCGTGCCAGCTTGCCCGGGTGCGGACGGCTGGCGCCACTCCGCGCGGCCCACTCGCCGCGCGCTGCATAGTCGCGCCTTCCGTCGGCGTGCTCGTGGCAGGCGAGCCGTTCCACGACGTCCTCAACGCGAGGAGGTGCGTGGAACGACAGCTCGGATCCAGTCGGCTTCGCCGCATCCGCCGCGCCTAGATCTCAGCTGGCCCATCGAACTGCCGGGCGCCAGAGCCCAGCCAGCACCGGTTCATTTGTTCGGTTTTCCCCGCAGGGGCGACGGGGCATGACGTGACGAGGAGCGCGGCCGCGCGCCTTGACGGGCGCGGAGAGCGACGGCTCCGGCGGACTTCTGCCACGACCACGCTGACCTGATCGGCCGGCTGAACGCGCCCCGCGGCCCACCCGAGGAACCGCAAGGCGCGCCTCCCGTGCCGGCGCTTGGAGAGCGCGGGCGCGACCTCCTGCGGACTGCTGTGGCTCAGTCTGCCGCGTCCTTCCAGGAAGCGCTCGCGCAGGATCCAGACGGCGCGCGCGATTTGCGCGCGTTCCTCTCGTCGCCAGGGGTTCTCCGCGCGAAAGGCGTCTGGAAGAGCGCGTTCGGCGCGCAGCCGCCGCGCCCCGTGCTCGCGCGGGTTGCGCGTCGAGCAGGGGCCCAGCTCGACGCCGCGCACGGGTGGCATCTCGCGGCCTTCGGCCCGCCCCGCCGCCACTCTCGGGTCGCGGGCGGGGCCCTAGAGCATTTGGGGAATGTTTCGGGGGCCTTCTCGGGGACCTCTTGGCAGCTTTCCTGGAGATGCTGGGCGTCTCGTTAGAGCGATTGACCGCGCGCCACGTCGCGCCCTGGGGCGCGGCGGCGGATAACTACAGGAGCCGCAAGGCATTTAAGCGGGAAATTAAACGAATGCGACGTTGGTACAGTAGTCCCAAGCGCCTGGCGCGCCGCCGCCGCGGCATCCTGAGGGTCTGCCCAGCCTGCGCCCAGGAAGCGCGCGGCCGCAGATGCGTCTTCAATTCGAAGCTGCGGCGGCATTACAGCCGCCTTCTCAAGTCGCGACGCTTGAGCGGCTTGCTTGCGTGGCAAGAGTGCGCCGAAGGCTTGCGGGCCGCCGGCGTGGGCCCTCGATCTGGCACCGTCCCAGTCGAACAGTCTTGGGCCATCACTGCTTCGCACTGGCCATCCGAGACTAAGACTGCAGGAGAGAAAGTTTTCAAGTTTTTTGCAGACTTGTCATTCCTGCGGTTTTTGTACATGCACTTCCACAGTTCGGCGTTGCCCGCGTGGGTCGACGATGACGTCATGTATTTCCAGCAGAGCGAACGCGCCCGTCTCATGCTCGAGCCCGAGACAGCTCTGCGGCTGGAGCAAGAGTTGGCGGACGCCGCTCGCCAGAGTTCGCAGTGAGCTGCATGCAGGTTGGCGCAATGCCATTGTTAATTTTTTGCAGGGGCGAGGGCGACACTGCCCTACCTCCCGTGGTTGGGCCAGCCGCTAACTCTTGTATTGCCTTCGGCCCATTCCACCACCGTGCCTGGGTTCGTGGTCATGAGCTTCTTGGATGTTCGTCGAGATGTCGCGGGAGACCTCTCGAAAACCTTTTGGAGGCAGTTCAATGTCTCTTAGGGTCGTCCCGGGGCTTCCAGGGTGGCTCGGGCGCTTCCTGGAGCCTCCCGGTGGCATCTTGGGGCGGAAGGCTCGAGCTGTCGGTTCGGGGGTATTAGGCAGGAGACCTGGGGGCATTCCAACTTGCGCCTCAGAGCGCGGTGGCGGATTCGGCCGCCCTGTTCGTCTTCCTCTCCTCCATTCCTCCTCGCCCATCGGCCGCCGCGTCAGCGATCTACGTGCCAGGCTACGGAAAACGCACCCGTCATCTCAAGTTTGCCAAGCCCCCCCATCGATTGCCTTTTTCCCCCTCGTTCTGCCGCCCGCGCTCGGAGAGAGCAGGATGGGGCAGGGATGCCAAGACGATGAGGGAGAGGAGGAACACGAGAAGGAGCGTGTGGAGGAGGAATCTGCCCCGCCCGGGCAGGCAATATCGCGTTGCGTTGCCCCCACCGCGGCGAGTCGGAGGTCCTTCTGGTTTGCCCGTTTCTGGCGGCCTTGGGGCCCGACGGCGGCCCCCTAGGGCCCGAAATCTTCCCGGAAACGTCGAGCAAAAACGCGCCGCCGCCGCCGCCGAAGACGTCGTTGCTGCCGCCGCCGCCGCCGCCGCCGTCGTCGTCGTCGTCGTCGTCGTCGTCGTCGTAGTATGTCGTCGATCCCCGACCTTCAAGGATTCTTGCTCGTTTTAGGCCTCTGGGAGCCGCTTTCGGGGCCTGGGACCGTCAAAAACGGATCCAGGACGAAAAACTATCCCGGGTTGTCGTCGTCGTCGCGACTTGTCCAAATCTTTCGCCCCCCCTTCCGCGCCCCGGGACGCCCTCGCCGCCACGGCTGGAGAGCGACTAGAGTCTGGCCAGAGCGCGCCCCATCGACAGGTCCACGGGCCGATTTCGCATGGAAGCTCGAGGCTCAAGGATCGAGATCGGGAAACGAGGATTTGGGTTCGTCTGGGGGGGCTGGACTGGAAGGACCCCACGAATGCACGTCAGGGCGGGTCGGCAGGGGGGTCCGCCAACTCCTTGTTGATGGAAGGGCTTGGGCGGTCAACTCGGACACTCCGCGCCGATCGCAAGCTTGAACGGCAAATCAGCGCGTTGGCGCCGAAGCGCATTTAGCATGCAGCTCCCAAAACGCCAGAATCACGCACGATCCACGGCGGCGCAAGGGCAGGGGGAGGAGGGGGGCGAGAGGGAGGGTGAGGAATGTAAGGGTGAGGATAAAGGGGGCGAGGAGGGGACGGTAGAAAAGATTAGGATGCGCTTCACCACGTCGTACCACACTAGCGGGTGCCCAGGCCGCTGGTCAAAGTCGAGGTCAGCTGCAAGTTCGTGGGGTTCCCTAGTGTCATTGGCGATGGACTCCAGGCACTTCTTGATGGTCGCCACCGCGGTCTCCGCGTTCTCGAAGCCAGCGGAGGTCTCTTTGCTGAACAGGACGTCGTTGAGCGCACCCGCGCCCGCCCTAATCCTCGCGTCTGTGGCAGAAAATGCGGATTGCTGGATAGCGGGGATAACATTTTCGTGAGCCTTTCCACCAGTACCGTCTGATTGGCAAATGCTAACCTGTCTTGTAGGGTCAAATTTCTTCCGCGGTTCTGCCTCGACATAACTTCATGGAAAGAAGACGCTACGCGTTCCAATGGATCTCTGATCAAAGCAGCCTTGAATCCATCATAATTGACAACAAAATCAGCAACCTCCTGTCTGGTGAGATTCATAGGTGGAAAAACCGTCTTCACCGTACCACCGTGATCGCGAGCGACCTTGAGCAACGACGTCCCACCATTCTTAAATGTATGAATAACGGCGGAGCCGTGTAAAATGACGACAGTGCTGAGGGCGGACTTGTGGAAGCCTGGGGCGCACGACCTAAATTTCTTCAGATGTGTTCTCTCGCTCCACGAGGTGTCGAAATAGTGGAGGGATGGGACGGTTGATGTGGTGGAAGCACTAGTGCAAGACAAACACGTACTTTTTAAGCGCAAAATTGCACGTCCAGTCGTTCCAAATCGTATTGCAGCAACGGACAGAAGGAACAAAATCGCCCACGCTGCAACGAACAGACGGAACACGAATACGCAAGCACTCGGCAGCGTTGCCGTGTTCACCATGTATGCGCCGATACCTCTGCCGCAATGCCCGCCAGCACCCGGAACAACGAACGTGTTTGGCCAGCACTGCAAACCGAGCAAATACGGCTCAAGGCAAAAAAAGGCTTGAGCCTTGAGCCACAATGGCTACGGACCAGGATGCTCCGATGGCCGTCTCGGATTGCCAACACGAGGCGGGAGGCCCTAAGGGAGGGTCTCCCGCTCGAGACGCCCTCGCGGTGCACTCACACTCTGGTGAGCGTCCGAGGGTTGAGTAACTCGGGGATGGACAGACCTCCCTTTAGTAAAACGTGGTTTAGTGATACCGTCAGAGGTTGAATCGGCCATCTCCTGGGGCAAGCTTCACAGGCGGGCATGGCAGATTCGTGTGCTGCCGCAGGCGGCGACAATTCAGGCCCCATCCAGACAGAGGTCGTCAAAGCCGAGTGCGAGTCGACCCAGCCTGGCGGCGACGGCAATGTGCAGCCGACAATGCCGTTCTCGTCGCCAGTCCGCCTCTTCGCTCACATCCGTGAGATCGACGCCACTGTGAAAGCGATGCGCCCGCGCTTGAGAGCCTTCGTTGAGCTGATGCTGAAGTCTGCGCTGGGCGCCCAGAAGCTGCACAAGCTCGCGGCCACCAGAGTGGGCGGCTCTTGGCACGATCACTTCGACAAGGACGCGTCGGGCGACACTGTCCTGAGACATTTCAACCACAACGTTGCGGTCATCGACAAGATTATCATATACCTTGAGAGCCTTCACTTGCTTGCCGACCCAGACTGGTGGCTCGACGGCGAGTCACTTTCAAAGAGCAGCACCAAGCCCGACGAGCAGGCCCTCTGCAACTTCAGCAAGGTCCACCACGAGCACACCTCAGTCACGCCCTTCACCGTGCTGACCTCATCCACCCTCGATCTCCCCGAGGTCGGAGATGACATCGCAGCGTTGTTCGCGGCGTTTGCTGAGCATGTCGGCCAGCGCATGTACGACTTCAAGGCTACAGCGTTCTTGGTAGATAAGAGTTCTACGATTTCTGACGTGGAGGTGCTCCTGGGGAGCGTTCACGCCGACGTCTTAAAGGAGTGCGACGACTCGGCCCTGTATCCTCACTTGCTGCCTAAGGGCGATGCCGACAATGTTGCGAAGCTTGCGCCCATTGATGTTTCTGGAAGCAAAGGGGATCCCAAGGTGTTGGAGCTTCTCCCTCATAACCGAGCTCTCGAGCACCTGCGATGCTTCATCAGAGCAGTCATGCTGACGGAGATCGACGTCCCTGGCATGTTCTACTCAACTGTGGATGCACCGGAGCCCAGCATCGACCTGTGCATGTTCGCTATGGAGCTCAAGTGCGCTGTCGCCGACGTGGTCGCAGTCATTTCCTCAGCCGAGGTGGCTATAGGCAGGAAGGCTCGCTCCAAGGATAAGCAGTTCATGAGTCAAGGGTACCTCTGCGGGACGGCCACCTTCATATTGCAGATCCTCCACGGTGCGCGACAGAAGCTGGACAGCATGGCCAACGACCCCAGGGCCATGGAGTTCGAGAAGACAGGCTGGCAGCTCCGCGAGTCGATCCACACCATGCGTCACTGGTGCTTGTTGGCGGCAAGAGTCAGCGGGCGTTACGAGAGCATGCTCTTGCTGGGCATGGCCGAGGTCTTGACCAACGAGGGACAGGCGACGGCAAAGGTCACCCCTACTTGGACAGCATGTTTCGTCGACGACGTGTTCAACGAGACGATGGCAATGGCGATGCTCAAGAACAAGCTGGACGTCGTGATCAACCGCCACAACTCACTCCACACCTGCATCAAGGCCTTCTCCACGTCAGCAGCCGTGCTGTCCATCAACCCCCGCGTGCAGGACCACCCGACGACGTCCGAGTCAGTGAACGTGGCACTCCAGTTGCTGAAGGACGCTGCGGAAGCAAGCGTGGTCATCAGGGGCGTCGACCTGTTGACTGCGTATCGTCATCGCCCTGAGGGGCCGACGAAAGCGACGGAGTTCTTGACGGAGAACGAGGGTCGCTACCCCAAGGTACCGCAGTGCTTCTGGCAGTTGTTCAAGGACCTGCAGGCGCACGCACTTCCAGCCCAGCCTTTGCCAGCACAGGCTGGCGAGGCGTTGGCCCCTGGCGCAGGCGCGTCTGGGGGCGGAGCCCACCTCGCGCCAGCCAAGAAAAGCTTAGCGGACGGGTCTATTCACACTCCGACCCCAAAGAAGCCGCCTGCCCCGAGTTCAGCCGATGGCAGTCAGCACGTGAAGGCCAAGGCCCCTAGCGTTTCAGATCGCCCCGCCAAGGGTTTCAAGCGCGCCAAGCGCTCCTGAGCCTCAGGAGTTTCAAGCGCAGCAGGCACTAGCATAGCATGCAAACGTAATGCAGCATTGAGCAGACATAGACACATAAGGGATCAGCATATTGCATATATCGTGACACGCATGCTTGTGCAAACACTCTGGGCCGCTGGTCTGCATTGGGCTGGCTGTATTTAGCTAGGGTGCCGCAATGCAGTTTAGGTTTGGATTCTAATCTCGGCTGGATGCTCTCAGAGTGCGAGCCGACGTCGAGGCAACGAGAAAGTGGTGTTGAGGGTGTTGGGGGCGCGCCATGCGTCGGGCGGTCGGAATATCGACCCCGTCTACTCCGACCGTCGGAGTATCGCGCGATGCAGCGAGCGCACCGTCTACTCCGACCTCCGACGTACGGCACATCGGGCTCCACATCGAGCTGCATCGGCGATGCATCGGCGATGCGGCGCGATACTCCGACGGTCGGCGTGGCCATTGCTTCACGTGCCGTTGCATTCAATACCGTTGGCATATAAGGATCCTCTCACACACACGCGTAAACACATGTGCTTTGACCTGCGTACCACTCGTGCGCCACTGATGTTGCCAGCCATTTTGTCTCATCACTCTTCCTCGACCTCCCGTCCTCCTCCTCCACCTCCCCCTCCTACCTTTCTGATTTGTCCCCCGTCCCCCCATATGTCCTCCCAAGTCCCTATCTTCCCTTGCCTCCTCGTTCCCCTCCACCTCCCTCGCATCCCCTACCGTCCCCTCCTCGCCCCCTTTATCCTCACCCTTACATTCCTCACCCTCCCTCTCGCCCCCCTCCTCCCCCTGCCCTTGCGCCGCCGTGGATCGTGCGTGATTCTGGCGTTTTGGGAGCTGCATGCTAAATGCGCTTCGGCGCCAACGCGCTGATTTGCCGTTCAAGCTTGCGATCGGCGCGGAGTGTCCGAGTTGACCGCCCAAGCCCTTCCATCAACAAGGAGTTGGCGGACCCCCCTGCCGACCCGCCCTGACGTGCATTCGTGGGGTCCTTCCAGTCCAGCCCCCCCAGACGAACCCAAATCCTCGTTTCCCGATCTCGATCCTTGAGCCTCGAGCTTCCATGCGAAATCGGCCCGTGGACCTGTCGATGGGGCGCGCTCTGGCCAGACTCTAGTCGCTCTCCAGCCGTGGCGGCGAGGGCGTCCCGGGGCGCGGAAGGGGGGGCGAAAGATTTGGACAAGTCGCGACGACGACGACAACCCGGGATAGTTTTTCGTCCTGGATCCGTTTTTGACGGTCCCAGGCCCCGAAAGCGGCTCCCAGAGGCCTAAAACGAGCAAGAATCCTTGAAGGTCGGGGATCGACGACATACTACGACGACGACGACGACGACGACGACGACGACGGCGGCGGCGGCGGCGGCGGCAGCAACGACGTCTTCGGCGGCGGCGGCGGCGCGTTTTTGCTCGACGTTTCCGGGAAGATTTCGGGCCCTAGGGGGCCGCCGTCGGGCCCCAGGGCCGCCAGAAACGGGCAAACCAGAAGGACCTCCGACTCGCCGCGGTGGGGGCAACGCAACGCGATATTGCCTGCCCGGGCGGGGCAGATTCCTCCTCCACACGCTCCTTCTCGTGTTCCTCCTCTCCCTCATCGTCTTGGCATCCCTGCCCCATCCTGCTCTCTCCGAGCGCGGGCGGCAGAACGAGGGGGAAAAAGGCAATCGATGGGGGGGCTTGGCAAACTTGAGATGACGGGTGCGTTTTCCGTAGCCTGGCACGTAGATCGCTGACGCGGCGGCCGATGGGCGAGGAGGAATGGAGGAGAGGAAGACGAACAGGGCGGCCGAATCCGCCACCGCGCTCTGAGGCGCAAGTTGGAATGCCCCCAGGTCTCCTGCCTAATACCCCCGAACCGACAGCTCGAGCCTTCCGCCCCAAGATGCCACCGGGAGGCTCCAAGAAGCGCCCGAGCCACCCTGGAAGCCCCGGGACGACCCTAAGAGACATTGAACTGCCTCCAAAAGGTTTTCGAGAGGTCTCCCGCGACATCTCGACGAACATCCAAGAAGCTCATGACCACGAACCCAGGCACGGTGGTGGAATGGGCCGAAGGCAATACAAGAGTTAGCGGCTGGCCCAACCACGGGAGGTAGGGCAGTGTCGCCCTCGCCCCTGCAAAAAATTAACATGGCATTGCGCCAACCTGCATGCAGCTCACTGCGAACTCTGGCGAGCGGCGTCCGCCAACTCTTGCTCCAGCCGCAGAGCTGTCTCGGGCTCGAGCATGAGACGGGCGCGTTCGCTCTGCTGGAAATACATGACGTCATCGTCGACCCACGCGGGCAACGCCGAACTGTGGAAGTGCATGTACAAAAACCGCAGGAATGACAAGTCTGCAAAAAACTTGAAAACTTTCTCTCCTGCAGTCTTAGTCTCGGATGGCCAGTACGAAGCAGTGATGGCCCAAGACTGTTCGACTGGGACGGTGCCGGATCGAGGGCCCACGCCGGCGGCCCGCAAGCCTTCGGCGCACTCTTGCCACGCAAGCAAGCCGCTCAAGCGTCGCGACTTGAGAAGGCGGCTGTAATGCCGCCGCAGCTTCGAATTGAAGACGCATCTGCGGCCGCGCACTTCCTGGGCGCAGGCTGGGCAGACCCTCAGGATGCCGCGGCGGCGGCGCGCCAGGCGCTTGGGACTACTGTACCAACGTCGCATTCGTTTAATTTCCCGCTTAAATGCCTTGCGGCTCCTGTAGTTATCCGCCGCCGCGCCCCAGGGCGCGACGTGGCGCGCGGTCAATCGCTCTAACGAGACGCCCAGCATCTCCAGGAAAGCTGCCAAGAGGTCCCCGAGAAGGCCCCCGAAACATTTCCCAAATGCTCTAGGGCCCCGCCCGCGACCCGAGAGTGGCGGCGGGGCGGGCCGAAGGCCGCGAGATGCCACCCGTGCGCGGCGTCGAGCTGGGCCCCTGCTCGACGCGCAACCCGCGCGAGCACGGGGCGCGGCGGCTGCGCGCCGAACGCGCTCTTCCAGACGCCTTTCGCGCGGAGAACCCCTGGCGACGAGAGGAACGCGCGCAAATCGCGCGCGCCGTCTGGATCCTGCGCGAGCGCTTCCTGGAAGGACGCGGCAGACTGAGCCACAGCAGTCCGCAGGAGGTCGCGCCCGCGCTCTCCAAGCGCCGGCACGGGAGGCGCGCCTTGCGGTTCCTCGGGTGGGCCGCGGGGCGCGTTCAGCCGGCCGATCAGGTCAGCGTGGTCGTGGCAGAAGTCCGCCGGAGCCGTCGCTCTCCGCGCCCGTCAAGGCGCGCGGCCGCGCTCCTCGTCACGTCATGCCCCGTCGCCCCTGCGGGGAAAACCGAACAAATGAACCGGTGCTGGCTGGGCTCTGGCGCCCGGCAGTTCGATGGGCCAGCTGAGATCTAGGCGCGGCGGATGCGGCGAAGCCGACTGGATCCGAGCTGTCGTTCCACGCACCTCCTCGCGTTGAGGACGTCGTGGAACGGCTCGCCTGCCACGAGCACGCCGACGGAAGGCGCGACTATGCAGCGCGCGGCGAGTGGGCCGCGCGGAGTGGCGCCAGCCGTCCGCACCCGGGCAAGCTGGCACGCCTCATTCACCACGTCGGCGTACTTCTTGAAGTGCTTGTTGTAGGAGTCGGTGCTGACGAACGCAGGGCACGCGTCCTCCAAGGACATGCCGGCGGCCTGGCGAGCAGAGACGATGTCCGCGAGCAGAGGCTGCAGCACGCGCTTGATGTCCATCCAGGCCTCCCCGCGGACGGGGGCGACAGGCAGCAGGGGCGATCCGTCCGTCCCGCAGATGCCGAGCACGCAACTGAAGGGCTTCTGGCGGGACTTGCCGGCACCTCTCCAAATCTTCTTCGCCAGCTTGAAGTTGCCGTCCACGCGCAGCCCGGAACCGTTGTAGAGACTCTGCAGGCGCCGCATCTCAGACACTCTCCGCGAAATCGGGGCGGAGAAGGCGCGCAGGGCGATCATGCCCAACATCTTGCGCTTGGGGAGGGCGAAAGCGATGTTGAAGAGGACGGCCCGCGCGTCGGCGTCGCTCAAGCCCGCCTCCGCGCCGCGCGCGACGGCGACGTACTCCCCGAGCAGCTGCCGACGGCACTCGCGGAAGTTCAGCGTGTCATTCAGGCAGAAGAGGAATCTCGCCAGGAACCTCCCAGTCACGTAACAGCGGCCCTCCTTCTGCCCGCCCTCCGCCGCGTTGCCGCGGATGACGATCGCGTCAGGGGCGACGCGCACCACGTCCTCGTCGGTCACTGGGAAGTAACGGCGATGCCCGACGTCGTCGCCGCGCCCGCCGCACGACGCCTGCGGGCAACGCCCATGTTCGTGGACAGCCCTGCACGTGAAGCATACCCACCTCTGACGGTCCAGCTGCACCGGCCACGGGAAGTCCCAAACGTAGCTCCCGCGCCTGCATTCCCCGCTCGGCTGCAGCGCGGCCTCCCCCTGCTGACGCGCGACCCAGTGCCGGAATTGCCGGGCGTGATCGTCGGCGGCCTTCGGGATCACGAGGGACTGGCGCCGCGGGCCGCTGGCACGCGGGCGCCGCGACGTTCATGCCGGCGAGGGCGTGGCGGAAAGACTGCAACATCTGCGCGTCTTCCACGAGAGCGCGCGGAGCCACCGATGCTGCGCGCCCGCCATCCGACACGCCCTCGGGCACGCGCGCCATCCATGGAACACCGCGGACGATCGACCGGCAGCGCCACCGATGCTGCACGTCCGTGAGATCAGAACCGGCACGCGTGGTCAAACCACGCCGCAAACTCGTCCTGAGCACGTGCGCGCCGCCAGCGGCGCCCGCCCCAGAGCCTTGGACTACGGGGGCCACGTCGCACCGAAGGCGGCCGCGGCACACGAAGGCGTCGAGGACGACCACCTCCTCGCCTCGAAGTTTGCCAGCGAGCCCTGCCCGCGGGGCCAGCGTCTCAGCCGGGCCGCCGTCGCCGCTAACAAGTCCACACTGGAGCAGTCGGGCCAGCGTGCCCCGCGTGCGCCCCGCGCGAAAGCGCAACGCCAGGCGCGCCCGCTTGTCTGCCCGTGCGCCAACGCCTGAGCGGGCGGAGTCCCGCTGGGCCAGCGCAGCGTCCAGCGCCGCTGCGTCGCGCGGACCGAGCTCTGGCAGGGCCGCCCGAGGCGCCCACGCCTTGCGCGGGTGCGCCGGTGCTCTCGGCCCCCCTTCGGCCGAGCGGCTTGGCTCGCGGGCGGGCCCACCTCGGGCGGCGGCAGCGGCCGCGCCTGGGCAGGCTCTGCGCCGCGCTCCCCGCGCAAATCCTTCCAGGTGGGCCTTTTTCTGGGCCACGGCGGCGGGCCCCCGGTCGGGCCTCTCTTCGCCGGCATAGACGCTCTGGTGGCCGAAGACGCGATCAGCGAAAGCCCGGGCCTCTGGCTTGAGCCCAAATGGTTGCAGCGATGATGACGACGATGGCGATGCATGAGATCACCTAACCGCGGCCAGGGGGGGCGCAACGCGATATCGCCCGCCCGCGCCTGCGCCGCCAACCGCGGAGATGATCCAAGATAGCCTAAGAGGGCCCCCGAAATAGCACGGACAGCCCATGGTGGCCCCCGAGACGGCGCAAGGCGGCGTAGACGCTCCCTTGGAGCGAGCCCACTGGGGGCTATAAAAGCTCTCTTGGGCCGCTGTGGGGCCCGGGCCGCCCCGGGGCCGCGACGGAGCCCCCGTCGGGGACCTATCGGGCCATGGTCGAGCGAAGGGGCCCCGCAGACGCAGCAGAAACGCGCGGGCGCGTGGATCGCCTTTGCCGCGGCCGAGGAAACGAGGGGTGGCCGAATACTTGGCGGCTGGCGCAATCGCCGCGCGCAGGCTGGCAGCGCTGTCGCCACGACAGCGAATTGAAGCAACGGTGTTGCGCCGACCTGCGCGCGCCTCGGCAGCGGGGCTGCTGGGGCGCCTTCGAGGATGCATGCGCCGCTTCAGGGATCGGGGAAAACCTCTACCGAGACGCCGAGGCTGCGGCGAAAGGCCGCTTGCTTCTCGGACTGCTTGAGATAGCCCACCTTCACGAAGCCCTGGTCCGCGCCGGGCGCCTCTTCGAGCACCCCGCCCGCAACCAGGGCCGCCACAGCCACCTTGATGCGCGGCATCAGCGGGCCCACGCCCGGCTGGCCCGTCGCGCCCCTGAACGCTGGCCCGCGCTTGCCGCGGACTGCCAAGCGGAAAGCCGTGTGCGTGATCCGCCCGTCTCGAGGCGCGTGCTGCAAGAGGGCGGCCTGCAAAGTCTGCTCCAAAGACAACTGCAAGCGCCCCGCCAGCGGAGCAGGCGCCATCCCGCCCACGGACGGGTCCTTTGCCAACATGGAGATGTAGGCGCCGTGGTGAAGCTGCCACTGCCGGTGCACGCGCTGCAGCGCCGCGGCCAGTTCGAGGAAGGAGATCTGGCTACGCAGCGGCGCCTGCTCGCCCGCGCAGTGCTGGAAGATGCGCATGGTGCTCAGAGAGGAGCGGAGCAGGTCAGAACGGAAAAACAAAAGCTTTGCCTTCCACCACTTGTTGATGCGGTTCTCCTCCATCGCTCGCAGCAGTATCTATGGCGTCGTAAAGGCTGCTAGCGAAGTCGTCCGGAACAATGCTGTGCTGATGCGGGAGGCAGTTGATAACGCACCATTCGTAGAAGTCCTTGAGGAAGTCCTGGCACTCAGTGTCGGCGAAGCCGTTCGCCCTCGGGACGAAATCCCCCGGGGCGCCGACGCGGCCGCCGAGCCGCGCGCCCGGGGGCCCCCGCTGCTGAGGGGCGGAAGACGGGGGCCCCCGCGCGCTCTGCACAGCGGCTGCTTCCGCGCCACCCTGCAAGACGCGACTCCTGAGGCGCCGCCGCGATGGACAAGCGCTTGTGCCACCCCTGCGCCCCAGGGCGCATGGTCGAGTCCGCTGTCTCGGGCTGCGTGATGATGCGGCAGCCGAAATTGTACGTGCCCTTCACGAGCGCCATCGGCCCATGCCCCGTCGGGGACGAGATGGACTCGGCCTGCGTCCACTGGCACAGGCGCTGCTTGAAGAAGAAGTGAATCCTGGCCTCCTTACTCGAGTAGCCCTCCACGTAGATCGTATTGGCGCCCTCCGAACTGCTGAGCAGCCCGCGCCTGTACTGCTCTAGGGTGGACTCGGTGCCTTTCTTGGTCCCGTCCGTCATGAGCACTTTGCGGTCCGCCCACTCCAGTGGCGCGCTCTCGGCGTCGAGGATAAGGCTGTCCGCCAACTCGAGCTGGGGGCTCTTGCGCATGGAGGCACTCTGCGACACGAGACACGCCTGCGACGGCGAGACACGGTGGGTGCAGCCCAAATCGTGGGTCAGGTACGTCTCGCTGTGCTCGCAAAAGCCGATGTTGGACTCGAGGAGGAGCGCGAAGCCCTCGTGGTGGTAGCCCTGAGCGTCGCAGATGCGCTTCACCACGTCGTACCACACTAGCGGGTGCCCAGGCCGCTGGTCAAAGTCGAGGTCAGCTGCAAGTTCGTGGGGTTCCCTAGTGTCATTGGCGATGGACTCCAGGCACTTCTTGATGGTCGCCACCGCGGTCTCCGCGTTCTCGAAGCCAGCGGAGGTCTCTTTGCTGAACAGGACGTCGTTGAGCGCACCCGCGCCCGCGGCGGCCCTAATCCTCTCGTTCCACTGCTGCACCAGCTCCGGGGCATCCTTCATAATCTTCCGTCGTTTCGCCGCGGCGCTCCTCCACTGAAGCCCGCGGAGGGGGTCGAGCATGACCGGGCCGTCGCCGGCTTGGCTGCCAGCCAGCTCGCCGTCGCCGGCTTGGCTGCCAGCCAGCTCGCCGCCCTGACTGGCAGCGGGCACGATGTCCATGGGGGCGCCCGCGGCGGGCACGATGTCCCGGGGAACCGCTGCGGCGTCGGCGGGCGCCGCCTCCGCAGGCACGATGTCCTGGGGAACCGCGGCGGCGGCGGGCGCCGCCTCCGCTGCTGGAAGCGCGCTGCCGTTCTGGCCATCCGTCGCAGCCCCCGCAGCGTCGCCGGAGGAACTGCCGGCGCCGCAGATGCCGGATGCCCTGGCCTGCGCTCGGCGACGAAGCACCCGCGTCCCCCCCTGGGCGTCCGGGATCGCAAAGACGCCGTGGCCCCCTGCCACTGGCGCCTTCTCTGCTGCGTCTGCTGTCATCTTGCATTTTGGGCATCGCTGCAGCCGTTTAGAAACGCCCCTTGCCTCCATGTCTCGCGCCAAGCACTCTGCATGGAAAACGTGCCCGCACATCAACGCCTCGCAAGGCGCCTCGTCAAAGTCTGACCAGCAGATCGCGCACATAGTGTCCCGGTCCTCCGCGTTCCCCGCCATCCCCGACTTGCCGCGCCAACGGCTCGTGGCGCCCTGTGCGCAACCCGCGCCCGGACGTGAGGCTTGGGCCCAAGCGGATACAATGATGATGATGCTAGCCTTGAGCACAGCCCCGACATCGTGCGAGCTCCAGCCAGGATGGAACAAGATAACCCAAGATGAATCGAAGGCCTCATAGGGCCTCCACAATGGCACAAGTAGCCCAAGCTGATTCAAAGGCCTCAGATGGCAAGATAGCCACATAGGACCTCCGATCAGGCACGAATAACCCAAACCGGTCTCCAAAACTGCGCAAAGCGACCGAAAAGTCGTTCTCTTCCTCCTCATCCGCCTCCTCCTCCGCCGCTGCGGCGGGGGAAACACGACGAACAATCGCCCGGGGCAACGCAATGGTGACGCCGACGACGCCAAAGACGACGACGCCCAAGATGGCACAACATAGCCCGAGAAGGCACGGGCTGGTGGGGGCGGGATGGCGGGGATACGCGAAGCGTGAAGAATTGTTTGGCGCAGCGGAGAACTGGGGGATTTGGGGCGCAGGAAGGCAGACAACAGCAAGTACTAGTCCACGACACGTTGCTTTCATCCAATTACCGCGGGCAGTGCAAGCGCGAGGTCGCTGACGCTGCTCCACAAAACACAAAAGCGAGAGGACACTAGTCCACGATCCAAGTCCCCCCGACAACGGAGCCTAAACTTACAAGCGTGAAGTCTCTGACCCTACTCCATGAAGCTCAAACGTGCGCTGCTAAAAAAAATGGTGAAACCGAGAACGTGCGAAACCGAATACAATTGAAACTTAATGCTGCGTGAATCCAGAAGATGTGTAAGTTCCCGCTGCCCCTCCTCCTCATGATCCTCCTGCCGTCAGTAACGCTCCAATCGCAAAGAGAAAGCAAGAACGTAAATTTACAATTTTGCTTCCCATTTTGCTTCCCTTCTCCCTCCGCCTTCCCCCTGTTAACGAGACGAAAGTGAAAGTCCCGCCCGCCCTCCTCATGAGCCTCCTGCCGTCCGTAACGCTCCAATCGCAGCGACAGCAAAAACGTCAATTTACAGTCTTGCTTCCCTTCTCCCTCCGCCCCCCTCCTGCACCCTCTTTCCGACGCCTGGGCCCGGCACGCGTGACAATCGCCTTTGACACCCATCCATCCCTGCCCCCTCCCTTGTCCATGTCAGGAGGGCGGAGAGGTTTTGCGCGGCAGGAAGGTCAGGAGGATTGAGGGGGTAAGAGGGCTGAGAGGGCAAGAAGGTCTCAGGGCTGACGAGAAAAGAGCGCCACGAGGGTAATAAAGCACAATGAAAATGCGATGGCGAGGGCCGGATAGTAAGAAGGTAAGAGAGTGAGATTGCGAAGACGGTGAGTGCTGTCCAGGGGGAAGGGGGGCAAGAGGGTAGGGTGGTGAAGCGGGTCAATGCTATTCGGGGGGTGCGAGTGTAAAAGGATTGTCTTGGTGACGTCTTGAGGCCGAGCCCGGGGTGTAAGAAGGTAAGAGAGTAAGACTGCGAAGACGGTGAATGCTGTGCAGGGGGAAGGGGGGCAAGAGGGTAGGATGGTGAAGCGGGCTAATGCTATTCAGGGGGGTGCGACGGTAAGAGGATCGTCTTGGTGACGTCTTGAGGCCGAGCCCGGGGTGGAAGAAGGTAAGAGAGTAAGACTGCGATGACGGTGAATGCTGTCCAGGGGGCCACGGGGCAAGAGGGTAGGGTGGTGAAGCGGGTCAATGCTATTCAGGGGGGTGCGAGGGCAAGAAGATCGTCTTGGTGACGTCTTGAGGCCGAGCCCGGGATGTAAGAAGGTAACAGAGTAAGACTGCGAAGACGGTCAATGCTGTCCAGGGGGCAGGGGCAAGAGGGTAGGATGGTGAAGCGGGTCAATGCTATTCAAGGGGGTGCGAGGGTAAGAGGACCGTCTTGGTGACGTCTTGAAGCCGTCTGGGAAACAGACTGAGAAACTTCTCGGTGCGTATGTCACCTGCTGACAGCATCGTTTCGAATGCTGCGTCGGGCAAAAAGCCCGGCCGGCGGCCTCCAGAGACCGAAACTGGCCGCGAATCATCCGTCGTGGGAAGTTTGGGATAAGAGGGCCAACAATGGCAAGATCGTTCGATGGATCGTGGATGTAAGAAGAAGACAGCATGAGGTATGAAGGTGAATAAGATAATGAACCAAAACAAAACACGACAGGGTTACTAGCAGGTTTAATAGGGTAAGATGGTCCAGACAGCACGTGGGCAAGATAATGAAGAGGGTATGTGCGCAAAAAAATAAAGGGCAAGAGGGCCAATAGTGTTAGGAAGGTAGGGGCGTGAAGATAGGGTGGGGTGGGATAGTGAATGGGGGGTATGATGGGGAACGGGTAATACGTTCAAACGGCAAAAATATTGAGAAGGCAAGGGGTGCAAGACGAAATGCACATCAGGGCTCGCAGGGCTGAGAATGCGAATGGGTCGGGGGGCAGAAAAGTTAGCGAAATAAGCGGGCTGGCTGGACGGGGAAAGGGTTAAGGGGGCAACATGGGGAAGGGGCGGCACTGCACTGTGGTACAAGGGAGCAACGAAGTCCCAACCTCAAGTGCGTCCCCCTCGGGCCGGCCGCCCTCGCTTCTTACGGGCGGGCGCGCCTCCGACAGGCGGTTTTCTCCTCCTCCTTCCCCTCCTCCCCC